CTCTCTCTCTCTCTCTCTCTCTCTCTCTCTCTCTCTCTCTCTCTCTCTCTCTCTCTCTCCTCCATCTCTCTCATCACTCTCTCTCTCTCTCTCTCTCTCTCTCTCTCTCTCTCTCTCTCTCTCTCTCTCTCTCTCTCTCTCTCCCTGAAACCACAAGAATTTTGAGATTATAAAATATTCATCAATTTTTTTGATCATATTCAAATGCTTTACAAGGATTCAAGCTACAACACAAAATATTTATATTTACAGTAACACTGCATCACTAGGGTTACTGAGTACATTTCACTTTCATATTCTTTTTCAAATTAGAACATATCTGATAGGATGGTTTGTTTATTTTCAGGTCTCTACTGTTAGGTATTGGTGTCAACAAAAATCTGTCGGATGTTCATTTAGACCTCAGCTGCAATGATTTACGCTCCCCTGGTGCTACCATGATAGAGAGCTGTATAGCAGACATTCCAAATATTACTAGCCTAGATATCAGTGATAACAGTAAGAAACCATATTCTAAATTGAATTTAGTTGTTTTTTTACTTTTATTTAATTAAAAAATTACATTTAAATGTAAATCATACATGTAACTTTCAGTGTTGCATTTATGTGTATTCTGTAATGGTGCCCTAGCCACAGTGCTACTTTGTACGTATAGCAGTGTCAGATTTTACACAGTCGCATCTCTGGCTGTGACACAGCCATAGTAATGTAAAGTTTGTAATAATGGTACATCTGTAGTAGCCTCATGGACATACGCATGTTAGTGCAACTGGTAAAGTGGCACATGGCAGTGTCACATCCATGACAGGATGTGTTCTTAGACTTATTACCTTTACTCGTATGTTTGTTTTTCTTCAGATTTTGACCAAGACATAGAGAGAGTTTGCCGCTGGATTCAAAGGAACCGTAGCATAAAACATTTGGCTATTGGGAAGAACTTCAACAGTGTGAAGCCAAAGTAAGCTCTTACCTATCCTGTCTGTCTTTTGTCTTTATTCGACATCTGATGGTATCAGTCTGTGATTTTAACTCCTAACTTTCTAATATATCAGAGGGTTTCTATTTGTATTTCCAACATCTTTCCTCAATAATCTCCTCCATTAAGACGAGGAAAAAATCATTTTTGTACCTATCCCAGCCCTCCTCCCCTCCCACCCCTCTATACTTGATAATATCCTACATCAGGCAGTGTAAATACAGACAAGTACCCTGAGTATCCTATGTTGATAATGCAGACATGTACCTTGATTATCCTATATTGATAATACAGACATGCACCCTGAGTATCCAGTATTGATAATACAGACATATACCCCGATTATAACATATTGATAATACAGATGTACCCTGAGTGCCCTATATTGATTATACAGACATGCACCCTGAGTATCCTATATTGATAATACAGACATGTACCCTGAGTATCTTATATTGATAATACAGACATGTACCCTGAGTATCTTATATTGATAATACAGACATGCACCCTGAGTATCCAATATTGATAATACAGACATGTACCCTGAGAATCCTATATCGATAATAGAGACATGTGCCCCGATTATCATATATTGATAATACAGACGCACCCTGAGTGTCCTATATTGATAATACAGACATGTACCCTGATTATCCTGTATTGATAATACAGATGCATCCTGACTATCCTATATTAATAATACAGACATGTACCCTGAGTATCCTATATTCCAGATATATGCACCAGGTGCTGGACTCTGTGGTGCAAGTCATACAGGAAGAAGAATCAGTGAGTGCCTATTGCCAGAGTTTTTTGATGTAGTGCTTGTAATAAATAGTTTTTGGAGCAAAAAAATATATAGAGAGAATGAAAGATTAATAAACACTGCAACATTATCATCTGTGCTTCAGTTTATTGCCAATAAACATAACACAACATTCTTGTTACAAATATTACATGTAGCTTAGATTGGGTTAAACCTACTTAAAAATGGAAGAAAGTTTTAATTTGTCTATGAATTATGTATTTTTCACCTGTTAAATGATTGATATTGTGTTTCCTCTTCCAGCCAATAGAAAGTCTTTCTCTGGCAGACTCCAAACTCAAGCTAGATACAGCAGTCATTATCAATGCCTTGGGCAGCAACAGCACCCTCAAGACACTGGATATCAGGTACACTGGCACTGACCACTGTTTACTGAACTTTGGTCACTGACCACTGTTTACTGACCACTGTTCACTGAGAATTGTTTAGCAAAAAAAGATTGGCCAGATTAACTGGAACATTTTTTGACAAATCAAACTTTTGAACAAGATCATTGCATACTTTACAGAATGTCATTTGATGCTTTATGTTCTTTATCAAGCAGAATATGTGTAGTGAGGATCTGAAATTTGCTTTTTACTATAATTAAAATGAGTCCAGACTGGTATTCGTGTATCATTTAAAAAATAATTTTTAATTTGTTTTTGCTGGTATGTTGTGGTCATACATGGAATAGGATGATGTTGTATGTCAAAGACATCTTCAATGTTGACAGAAAACTGTTAAAGCCTATGAAATATGAATAAATTACAGAAAGTCAAAAACTTAATAATAAGCGAAAGATCTAAATTTTACAGTTATTGTTGTTTACTAAGCTAATCATTCCAAGTGTTTGAGCAAAATGTGATGGTAGTTTGACCTTACAGTTTCCATTCTCTGTTTTAGTGGCAACAATATGGGTGACTTTGGTGCCAGGATGTTGGCCAAAGCACTACAGATCAACACTAAGCTGACGGCTTTAGTCTGGGACAAGAACAACACAACTGTGCAAGGATTTGAAGACATAGCAGCTGCTTTGCAAAAGTAGGTTATGGAGCATAATTGGAAGTGTCTCTTTCCCTTAGATATTTTAGTAGAGTTACACTGGCTGGGTTATGCTTACTAACTGTGATAGTATCAGGTTCTTTCTGCATTCAATATTTTTTGTCCATGATGTCACCAAGAGGATGGTTTAAAATGATGAGAGGCAGGGTTGGGGGGGGGGGGGGTGAAAGTGTGAACACCATGTAACAGGATAGAATTCAGCTCACACAGTCATTTCAGCAGAATATTGATGATCATCAGTCAAAATCATAATTGTATCCCCTTATCCTAAAGATTATTGTGGGTTCTTTGTGTATTTTCTTTAAGAGAATTGTTTTACAAGTGTTATTGTGCCACTGTCTGTCTACCCTAGGAACTACACAGTACGTAAGATGCCTGCTCCTTTCCATGATGCAGCAGCTGCTCTGAAGGTCACACCAGACAGAACAGAAAAAGCACTGCAGACTGTGAGTTTTACATTGATTTGTGAATGGTACTTTATGATGGTATTGAAGATAATATTATCAAGTTCGTACCTCTCCTGTCAAGTAATGTGTTCGTTATAAAAGAAATTATGATATTTAGTAAAATGATCATTCTGGTATGCATATGCCATATATTAATATTTTAAATTATTATTATTATTATTATATAATGTGTTTTTCAGATCGAAAGACTCTTGCAGAGAAATCATAGTCCTAGGAAATTTGCCAGTGAACAGGCTTTCAGACTGCAGCAGGGATTTCTCATCAGTTCTACACAGCAGGTGTGCTTATACAGCCATCTTTCTCATATCCCAATGTCAGAACGTAACATGATTACGTGATAAAAAAGAAATTGATGTCACATTGTAATACTCTAAATCTTGAATTCTTAATATAATATCACATTTTCTTTTAGATTATAAGCAGTCTTGTATTCAGTCTTCAAGATACCATAATATAGTTATGAAGTTCTCTTAGTATAAAAACCTGTATATATCCTTCATGTAGATAATAATTCAGTGCCATTGATTTGTGGTTTAGATGGTGGACAAGCTAGTGGTGCACCTGCAGGATACCATCAATGCCCTGAACATGAGTTCTAGTGATGAGTTTAGGGCGGACATTGAGAGTGGACAGCAGTACATCACTGATGCTGACAACTCTAAACAGGTAGGGTATTGTGTGTTTGTGGTATGACTCTGTGTGGTATTGGATATATAGAAGGAAGCTGTCATGGTATAAGATATAGGGAAGTGTTGTGGCATAGTATGGGATATAAGGAGGCAGTGTAGTGTAGTATCGAGTGGTATAGGATATAAGGAAGCGGTGTGGCATTGTATGTTATGACATGGTATAGGATATAAGGAGGTTGTGTTGTGTGGTATGGCATGGTATAAGATGTAAGTAGGCAGTGTGGTATGGCATAGCATATAAGGATGGAGTGTGGAATGGTATGATATGCCATGGTATAGGATATAAGGATAGGGTGTGGTATGGTATGATATGGTATAAGATGTAAGGAGGGGGATGGTATCATGTGGTCATGTGGCATAATATGGCATGGTATGGTATTGTTTGATCATGTGTGGTACATTGAAATAAAATGTTACAGTATAATGTACAGGGATTAATTGCTGATGTAAAAATCAAGTGGAGTTACAGTTTGGTATACAGAAAGTACAATATGGTATAATATAGTTAAGCATGTTACATTGTGGTATGATATAGGTTAGAAGAAAGTGGTATGGTGTGGTATATTATAGAAGGACAACGGTTATAATTACATCTAGTGTGATGCTGTTTTCATATGATGTGGTATGATATACTGTGATATCATTTGGATATGTACAATACCATAAAGTATATAATATGATTAAAGTATACTATGGTATGTTATGGCACCTTACAGTATGCTACAGTATAATTTGATTCAGTACTGTTAGTTTCAGCATTGAGATTTAAAGTAATTGACTTTTATTTGATATTAACCTATGCTATTCCAGCTTCTCCCAAAGCTCCAAGAGATAGCTCTGAGTCAAGAAGCAGAGGGGAACCCAGTCCAGGCCAAACTGCAGTCTATAACACAGGAACTGGGAGATCTGGTGGAGGAGCAGATGAAGGTAAGTATAGTACTTGGTATATCTATTATATGTTATGGGACAGTGAATGCCAGTGACCAGGTGAGCAACTTATGAGTTTATTTATTGATTTTTAATTTTTATGTTTATTATTATTATTTTTTGTGATATAAACTCATGTACACACGTACAAAATCATACAATCATATACAATATATGATACAGTGAAACTTGTCACAGCATACATTTTTGAAATTTCCCAGAATTTACATGGCACCGAAACTCCGTATTTGATATGAGACATGACACCATTTGGTTTCTTCTCTCAGTATGCAGTAAGTGATATATGGGACAGTGTAGTATATTGTTCTAAATTCCCCTCAATTTCCAGGGCACAGTAATTTTTTTAATAAACAGTAACACCTGGTCACAGTGTACATTGTTCTAAATTCCCCTGTATTTTCAGGGTACAGTCACTGAGATGTTGAGCTCTGCCAAGGAGCAGTGTCCTGGGGTGTTAGACAGTGAGACAGTGAAGGAAGAGCTGGAGGAGGGGAGCACAGAGAGGAGCCAGTTCCCCAAAGATTTCACCAAGATTCTTATCATGGACCAAGTGGGAACAGATGTCCTCAATAAAATAAGGTTTGTTCTTTGATGTTAATGATAACCTATGTTTATTTATTTATTAATTATTAATTTTCAAAGCAAATACTTCAGTTCTATTTAAATCTGTTATCATAATGGTTTTATAACTGTCATTGCTATCCAAAATGTGCACCAGCACTGATTGGGATGTGAATCATAAATTAGGTTATGGTAGACGGGCTGCTTTTACTGTATGTATATATACATAAGTTACATAAGTGTTTATTCAAAAAACTCAAGAAAAGATGAAAAAAGTTGAATAATACCCCTTACAGTTCAATGGACTACCAGTTGGCAGCACAAAATGTCCAAGAACAAATTCAACTTATTGCTCACAAACTCCTTAACGTCAACTTTACACAATATTATAATTGCTTTGATGATTTATCCATTGTATTATCGCTCACATGTCTAAGATGGTATTTGTATTTTATCTGGTAGTGAACTGAACCTGTCAGTGGCAGCCTACATCTCTGACAGGATGGTGGACCAAGTGATAGAAGCATTGGGAACAACTCAGAAAACATTGGTGAGATTTTGTCACAATCAGTGCATTGCCTCTGTCACATCTAACACAGTTGAGCAAACTCTAGTATCAGATTAATTTGGTTAATTTGGGTATTCTGTGCACTCATACTGTAAGATGAAAATCTGAGAGCAACAGTGAGAGAGACTTGTTTTAGTCCTTTGCATGTTTTGACCAAATGCTTATTAGACTCTAGACATAGACTATTTGGCATCACCATCAATGAAGGCCTTTTTTAAACGAAAATTTTAGTCAAATCTCCTTTGTAAATACACAGGCAAATATTGCAAATGAGAAAATTGTTATGACAATAGCTGCTTTTTTATCATGACTGTGTGTAACTGGCCCCTCAATGCATAAAAGCCCTCCCATTATTTCTTGTCTTAAGTTATTCCTCATGAGAACACATCTGTATGTGTTGCATTGCAGACCAATCATTTGAATACACGGAAGAGCCTGCAGAGGGCGCTGCCTGAGAAGGTCCAGCAAGAGGAGAAGCAGGATGGAGAGAGCAGCGAGAAGGAACAGTTTACCATTGACAGGGAAGAGAAAGAGAAACCTTCGCCTGGGGTATGTACTGGTATAGTGCCACTGTTTTCGTTGGTGGGAAAAGGTGGGGTATCTTTTTATTATAATAATAATTTATTGAGCACCAAATTGGCATTTGGTTGAACATTTTACCGTAGGGACTACCAGGTGAAATTAAACAAGGATTTGGAAAAGAAAATCCTTCAACAGTGGTATATATGTTGGATATTAAGCAGTATGAGGCAGGAACAAGGGTTTTTTTTTTTTTTTGTAGGTGTTTGATTTGAACCTTTTTTTGGCAAATGACTCTTTGGGTATAGAGTCAACAATTAGAAGCACCTTGAAAGGGAAGACATATGATATGGAAAAATGAGGTACAACAAAGCACTCAGTTAAATGTTGTTAAACAATTACTGATATTTGCACAATAACTATAATAATTACATAAACCAAAATGGATCAAGTAGAGCGAAGCCTATCTTTTTCCATATCAAGTGTCATGGGTGATAATATGACGTGGTGGCACATTACTTTTATTGTACATCACAGCACCATGTGTATGACTGCATGGATGTGAAGGTGCCTGGCTAGAGTATTTTATTTATTTATTTATTTATTTATTTATTTATTTATTGTGTAGTGAAGGTGTGAAAGAGATGGCTTTGTTTTTTACTTATTTACGTATTTTGTTTTTTATTGTATTCCATTTTCTTATCTACAATACAATTTGGACTTTTGCATGTTAAAGTTTTATATCATTATTAGCAAAGTATAACTAAAATAATATGAAAAGGGGATTTTAATATTCAGTTAATTCATAAAAATATCTCTGTTGAAAACTCATTATTCGAAAGATCATGGATGAAGCAACATTTTAGTATAATCATTCTTTGATAAGAATTTGAATAGTATTTCTAGTACTCAAAATAATATCACAAACCAAAATCATTCTTTTGTGATATACCAAAGAGGAATCACTGATAGTGGGGTTGTAATTTTTACATCAAGGATCTTGGTCTCTATATCCCATATCAAAACATCCATAAATCTTTTTTTATATTTCTCTTCTTTAGTTTTAAAATTGATATCAGGATTTTTTGCATGGCATTTGATTTCATCATTGTTTGAATGTAATATTTGTAATGTTGGTGATACAAGTTTTGTTGATGTTGAGGGGCTTGCTGTCTTTTGGTTTGATATTCTGTTGTTGTGAACAACATGCTGCCTGTGAAAGGTTTAGAGTACAAAGAAAACAGTTCGTGAATATTATACAAACTTGAATGCTCAGAATCCTAAAAAAAGTGCATTGTCTTAAAGAACAACAATTTTGTTATAATAACTGTTATGTAGTAAGTAGAAAATGTTTGAACACTGTGTTCAAGAATTATCCATTTTATTAAAATCATTATTACATTTTTAAATGTAAAATATGCATGATGTATTTGCTAAGTAGACATTAGTTTATTTATGTCTTAGTTTACCCCAGTAAAGATATGAGTAGCATGGTCTTTGTGATAACAATGTTTTAACTTTTTAAACCAGTTGTGTATAAAAATGTCACTGTTGTGTAAATGTGCCTATAGTTTCTCATGTATTGCTTGTTTTTACCCTATAGCTTCTGTTATTTCCCACATGGCCAGCGTGGGGTGTAAGTATTTGAAATAAGGAGGGAAGGAAGAAACATACTGGGGTTGGGAGGAGGGGTATTTAAAGGAATAAAGTATTGAATGGAGATTATGCATCAGGTATGTCATTTGGTCACAGATTCACAATATTTTGCACTAAGCATCCATTCTTCATCAAGGCAAAGTGTAGAAAAATATATATTAGACCTATCTATTTCTTGCTTTAATTACTTAATATTCAGATTTTGACATTTCCCTATGACATACCTGAAAAGTATATACTTTGTGATTAGAGACATTAGATATGAGAACTTCTGGACTTGTAGGGTAGGAGGAATTCTGGAAGGGGGACATCTAAGAGTGAAGTGTTTGTTCAGACTGAACCAAAATATCATTCTATATCATTGTGATACTGAGTGTCTAAATTATCCTAGGTTAGTTAAGATGAAAAAACGTTTCATTATAGGTAACAGAGTGCTTAGAAATCGGACATTGTTGCATATACAATATGTGCTTTCCATTTTATTTCACCCATTAAGTACTAACTGTCCATACTAATGATCTTTTAATATATGTATTTTTGAAATGTTGATAATGTGTTTTAGCATTCTGTTATTTCCACCTTGAGTCATATTAATATTTATTAGTAAACTTAGTGGATTTGAAGTGGATGGTTTTTTGAAAAAACCTAAAAACTGACAGTAAAGTCCTTTGTGGTTAAGAGACATTGAAAATGATTCTCATTATTAGGAAGCATTATGGTTCAATTTTCCATACAATAAACCCTGTAACACTTCTGTGGCTCAATGTTCCCCCATGTTAAAGGAAAAAAGATAGCAAAGAAGTAATCTTGAATTTCCTGATGCAAATTTATTTGGTAGGATTTAATGTTAATTTCAATATCTGTATAGTACCTGCTTTTTGGTTTTGCAGGACTCTCCCAAGGTCCGAAGCAAAAGGCAGAGCATGTACATGAGGAAGATGAGACCTCAGTCTGTTGTAGGTAAGGTCTAGGTCATATAGTAAGGTCAAGGTCATTTAATAAGGTCAGTGATTTTAGTGAAAGATGGACACGCTACATTGATGGTGAGGAAGATTTCTCGAATTCCCTCGTATATATCAATATCTATCGCAGGTTGATATGAGAAACAGCACCACATATGGCAGTGATTAACATAGCACTCTGTCACATCTAACACAATAGCACATTGTACCTTATTTGACAGCATGTACATTTACACCTAACACAATGACAGTGACACAGCTAACACATTTGTTAATTCATTGTGCTCTGTTGCACATGCTCAGCACTTTGTCATATCTAACACAATACACATTACACAGTACACATTTGACAGACTATAACTCACATCCAACACAATAGCACAGTGCACCTTATTTGACAGACTATACTATCACATCTACCACAGCTGCATATTATCAACTATATCCAACAATCAGCAATATTCAAATTGAACTGTGGTCAGCACCATTACACTTAATGCAACATCACATTATTTTTCTGTTTAACACTGAATCATTGCACTGTTCTACATGTTGAGGTTGATATGTAGTTAAAGGCTGCTTAATGTAGTAAAAGTCTTACTAAGTGTTAGTAGTGTGTATATGTTTGTCACCTTTTTGTGTCTTACTCAACTGCATTATATAGTTTATCTATTCTACTGACGGTTTTTCTTTTAACAGTATTTATAAAAATAATCCAAATTCCTTCTTAACACATTTCACTGTTATTTCTTTAGCTGTCACACTCCACATACTCTATTCTGTAGTGAATTGCCCTAAAGAGCAGCTAAGCATCTGTAATTTTAACTTCACTGAATTTCAATGTATTCTGTCTTATAGCTAATCTTTCTCCATTGGTGATATCTAAATATCACACTTCAGTGGCAAATTCCTATATTTATTTATTTATCATATAATTTGACCACACAATTTTCCAAGGAGGGTAGCTCAGATGCTCAGCTGCATAGTGCCATAATGCACAGGGTAATGCATCCTCCATGTAGTCAGTTAACATAATGTACACACTCTACTAGTATGTCTTGCTTTTCATGTTCATCTTGCACTATTTCTTTACTAACTTTCACTGCCAGATCTGGAAACTCTACCGCTGGAATCTTTTGAGGTTGGGAGGCTTTCTGCTCCAAGGCAGCCAGTTGAAGACTTTGAATCGGTCTCGTCCTTGGAAAGTGCACCTCATAGGGACAGGAGAGAAAGACCCCTGTCCAATTTATCACGCAGCAGTTTTCATCTCGAGGAGTCGGAAACTGATTTGCTTGGTGACCTTATACAAACTTTAAAAGCCCAATCTGCCTCAGATGACTTGAGGAGACAGAGTGCCTATTTGTTAATGAAAGGAGACAGAAATATAGCTAAAGAAACCTTGAAGGATGCCTCTAAAGCTGTGTCCAGGAAGTCATCAGCAGAGATGAATTCTGGGATTGAAGAAGAGGAGAAGGAAGATGAGAATAGGAATCCATGGAGAAATGATGCAGAATCAGAGGTTCATATAGAAAGTGATGTAGAATTGGATAAAGCAGCACTGCAACTTCATCCGCAAGCTGAAACATTTTCAAAAACTGCTGGTAGTAGAGTTATGGTTAATGTGAACGGGATCGCCCGTGATTGTGATGCAGACAAAAAATTAGCAGAAAGAAGTAAGGAAGAAGAGATCACAAAAATGACAACTTCTGTTAATGTGGAACAGGTTGTGGAAACCGCCACTAAGGAAAGGAGAAGAAACAAAACTCCTATTTGTGAAAATGATTTGAAAAGAGATTCTGCAACAAAATTTACCTTGGAACAGCATGCTGTGAGACCGACACTAGAGGACGCCGCCTATGCAAGACAAGACAACAACTCAGGGATGCATACTGTGATATCGGAACATAAATTTTTAACAAGTGATCCAGTTATGAAAAATGTTGTGATAACTAGGAGAGTCAGTGCCCCTGTTCATGTTAAAGACCAAAAGGGAGAAAACTCGACGAGAATTCCCCCTCGAAAACCAGAGAGAAAATTCCAGAGAAGCTTGCAGCACAGTCAGGAGCATTCTGTGGGCATTGGTGGACAGCATTTGAAGAAAAACAGCCCTGAGTTGACAGTTGTAAATGTGGTAAAGAATTCATCTGAGACAAAAGAAAATAAGGAAATGCTTCAGAACGCAAATTTTACGACAAGTGATAACAGCAGAACAGTGGGAACCACCGGTTCTATGCATGATGGTGTAGAATGCACGAGGCACGTAGAAAAAGTGGAGAAAATACGAGGAGATTCTTGCCATGTGGAGATTGTGACTGAAAATCTGACCTTGGAGGCATCCGACAATTCAAGCAGTGAAGGGGGCCATGCTGTTAATGAGGCTGAAGAGGTGAAGAGCAGTCTGCAACACAGGCACAGCAAACACGTTACATTTAGTGCAAATAATGAGGAAATTGTAGCCGATGGAGACAGAGATCAAACTGTTAAAGACGCGTCACCTGCTTGCCAACAAATAAGAAAAGTAACGGGTGCAGATAACATGGAACATTCTGAACTTGAATCAAGCCAGATTTATAATTTTACAGAAGGAGGCACTGATGGGTCTTCCAACAAAGATGAGGAAGGGTCTCCTATGATTCAAAGAAAAAAGGCCTTCACGCTGCCTTCAGTAATGTCCACAGACGTTAAAAAGAAAACTGGAAGCTTGCAAAAACTGGCTACTCCTCCTAAGAAGCCACCAAGTGGTAGCAAGCCGAAAGGTTTTCCTGGCTTTAAGCAAAAACTTGAAGGCTTATTCCACCACCACCATCATCATCATAAAGAGAGGAAATCTGCCCTTCTCCCTCAAGGTTGATCTCTCCTTTTTTTGTTCAGGTTTTGAGATCCTGCAAACTTTCCCCTCCTTCATAATTTTTTCTTTCTTGTCAGACCTGCATGGCTTGGGATTACACCTCATCCAATGTAGGCCTACAGTTTCTTATTTTGATTTGGATACAGGTATCTTTTCCTTTCTCGCAAAGCAGATCATTTTCAAGGGTAACCTGAATATTGTAACATGCTTATTTTTTCACAGTGTATTGTTTTTTACACCTTACCTGCCCTGATTTTCTCAAGCTAGCAAAGTCATGTAATCTGCAAACACCAAAAGATTTTGTGCTTATTTCAGCAGAGTCCTGTTTCTTTCTTTGAAATTATCTTATTATTCCTTTCAAAATGTTTTCTTCTGCATCTTTGGTTTTATTTTCAATTGGTAATCAAATGGTTTAAAGATTAATGGGATTTTCATGCATTTACGTAATATACTTATTACTTATTTGCCTGCATTTGATATTTATTTTATATCTTATTAAAATGCATGTTCTTTATTTTTATATCAATCTAAACATCTGTAATTTTTTCTTTTTATTGAAATGGATCTTTATTTTAACAACTAAATGTACTAAGCATTGCTGTAATAAGAGCAACACTGTTGTCTAAATCTTCACAAAACTGATAACAATTCACAGTGATATTGTTAATCACAATTCCTATGGTTTCTCTGACTTTCCTAGAAATTAAATTGGATTCCCCAGAGAAGGATACTTTGGATGGTCCCATGTCTAAGAGTACACCTGAACCCATTCAGGAGGACAGTAAGGAGAGGGGAGAGGATGTTGATATCATAGGTGAGAACTGTAAGGAAAATAAGAGTAATTTCATAGGATAAGACACTTTTTCAAGAATTGAAAGATCAGATTTAATTGTGAGAAGGGGGAGGATGCCTTTTTTTTTTTTGGGGGGGGGGTTTGACTACTGGACTGGAAATTAAGAAATTGTTTTTATTTGACAATAATGACTGCCTTACACTTTTGTATGGTTTGGCTAAAAACATGAAGAAAAAGTGAGCTTTTACAAGTACTGACATAGGTCATCTGTTTCATGTTTATCTTTATTATGTACACAAAAATTTCATTTTAACTTCCGTGTTGCTCAGGATATGGTGTTTCCAATCTTGAAATCAAAGAAATAATTTAATAGTGAATTTGGTAACAATTATCTATATTCTGCACAGACATCATAGGTTTTTTCTGAAATTACTAATCTTCTTGTGGTAGGTGATCTTCCTAGTCTACCTGGCCAAAAATTGGAACATCTGAATAAGGCTCGACCAAAACGATTCAAGACGCGTGCAGCTACACGCCCCATGAAGGTGCCCTCAGTAATAGAAACTGTTGAGGATGAACTGAGTACGGAATCTGTTGATGGCTTTTTTGAGGCAAAGCCGGTTTCTAAGGAACATGCTGCTGCCCATTCGAAAGAACCAGTGAAACCTACACCACAGATGGATAAGAATGATGAGACAAGGTTAGTACTAACAGTAAATGCTGTCATTTCAAAAGCCAGTGTAGTTATTTAGAGTTATTGAAAAGTTTTGTATCTGGTCATATTTTTACTTTTTTAAATTGTTCTTTAGGGAAAGTGGCAGCAAGAAAAAAGGATGGTCAAGATTTGGCAGTAAAGACAAAGAGCACAAAGACAAAGAACACAAAGAGAAGGAAAAAGAAAAGAAGGAAAAGGGGTAAATAAACCATCAGATTCAGGATAAATTAAGTACTTTAAGTACTTTTTTGTTGCCAGCACCAATAACAAATCATTCTAAACATTGATAATAAAGTAACAGAAAAAAAATTGGAATTCAAGCAACAAGTGTTTTCTGTGTTTTCAGTGGATTTGCTGCTGGTTTTAAGGCAGGCTTGAGCAGCCTGTGGTCCAAGGGCTCTTCGGGGACGAGGAGTCCAGAAGCACATCGCAAAAATGAGAAGTCCCACACAGAGCAGCCGTCTGTGGAGGCAGCACGGCAGCCATCTTTAAAATCTTCCACTGTGCCAGAGCACACAAAATCTAGATCACCCTCAAGGAGAACTGAGGATTTGAAGAAAAGTGACTCCCTTGAAAAGTTACCCAAGAAAGATTCTGTTGAGCGTGGTAGCACAAAGACTTCTTCCCTTGAAAGATCCCTAGAAACAAGCAGCCTGAAGTCTGGATCTTTAGAGAAGCATAATGAGGCAAGTGTGGTAGAGAAACCACCTGAGAAATCGATAGAAAGGGAAAGAGCAGGGTCCTTGGAGAAGTCCATGAAGACAATTTCCTCGGAGAAAAATCACGTGCCTACCTCGGCTACTGAAGTCCCCAAGACTGTCCCCAAAGTAGAGGAGGAAAATATAGAGGGTGAAGAGAAAGAACAAGGTAGTTGTTTACATATGTTGGCTGGTTAAAGGTATTGATATCCTAAATCATTAGTGCTGGCCATATATGTCATTAATTTTTATTACATCTTAAAAGAATATTGCAAATAACTTCATCTTTGAAGTGAAAAATGGAAGCTACATAAAGATACTTAGATTTATAACAAGATATGCTGATAAGATTTTTATTAACATTGAAAGTAATTCTTGCTTGAAAGTTTTTAAATCTGTAGCTGGACTAACAAGCGTACAAGTGAGATCAAAAGCTCTGACTTATTTGTAAGATTACAGATATATTTGTTCATAATCAATTAAGATCTGCATTTTACTATAACTGACTAAGGCTACTTATGATTTTGATGACTCGATCGATCCTTATTCCCCCAGGGAGCATATATATATATATATATATATATATATATATATATATATATATATATATATATATATATATATATATATATATATAGCTGAGCCACTGAAGCTCTGATCATTTGCAACCATACATATAAAAAAGTCAAATTCATTGCACAGTATTCTCAATGTGAATATTCCAGACAAGAAAGAAGAAGAATCCAAGTCAGAGGAGCCAGAGGAGCCCGCTGAGGCTCCAGCCCCCGTGAAGAAACCCATGGTGCCCAAGTTTGGGATGGGGTTTGGGGGTGGGATCTTGTCAGAGATGAAGGCCAAGAGGGAATCAAAAATGGCCAAGGTAAGAAACAATGATTGCACTTGTGTATTTTTCAATGAATTTTTTTCAGTCTCTCTCTCCCTCTCCATCTTTCTCTCTTTCTCTCTCTCTCTCTCTCTCTCTCTCTCGCTCTCGCTAGGTAGGTAGGTAGGCTAAAATATATTCTATCTGGCCAATAATTATGATCTGAAACTTCCATTCCTTTAGCCCCCACCATCAGAAGACAAACCCAAAGATGCTAAGGAGGCCCCACAGCCTGTTCCAGCGCCAAGAACACGATCAGCAGCACGTGCGTCGCGTCTGGCTGCAGAAAAGAATGCCGAGGAAGCTGCCTCTGAAGCCAAATCTCCAGCACATCCAGCAACAACAGTACCAGCAACATCAACAGCAGCAACAACTGCACCATCATCATCGACAGCAGCAGTAACAACTACTACGACAACAACAACAACAACTACGACATCTGTCAGGGAGGAGACAACCCCAGCTGTTAAAATGTCTGCTCAACAATCTCCTGTGAAGGTGCCGTCTACCCCATCGCCAGCGAAGGCAGAGAGCAGTTCCTCCAAACCACACCCCACAGCTGTGAAAGCAGAAAGTATGTACTGATTGGTTGTACATTGTCAAGTGATTTGAATTTTTGGTCATTTCCTTGACCTTAATGGTCATTTTGACATTACAAGCTGAAGGATTATTCACTGGTTTATGTTGATATTTGTGAGACTGCATAAGAACATTTTGAAGGCGTTTGTAATTTGTGGTTTAAGTCATCGCATAGATTCTTTGAATTGAGTCAGTTGGATGTTGTAATTAGTGATTTTGGGGCAAGACATGACACACATACCGAGCAATACTGCAGACAAATATTCAAAGTGAATCTGTTTTCAATCTGCATCGTTTTGTTTTCAAAATTCCAGAAAAATCCAAGCGGAATTCTCCTGACAAAATCATGCACAAACCCAAATTTGGGAAAAAGGTTGCACACAAAAAATGATAGCACACTAACGAAAAAACATTTCATAATATTCAGGCACTATCATATATACTGGGCACATATAAATTCCTATTCTCGTTATATTTGAATGGAGTGAAGGACATTTTTTGGATAAGCTTGATCATTTTTTAACCACAATATTATATGATATCACTTATTTCTATTGATATCCTTAATGTAGAATTTTTAACCTCTTTTTGGAAATGTAAACATATTTCGAAGTTGTGCACAGAAGTCCATAAAAGCAAGAGATGGTTTTGAATGAGCTCTGAACAATAAAAAAATTATAAATAAATGTACAAAAGTGCCCGCAGAGTATGGTTCTTCAGAAGTTGTATACCATCACAAGAATTCTGAATTTTCCCCACAACAGATTTATTTCATCTCCAACTCCACACTTGTATTTTTTTATTTAACCCCTTTGCTCATATCTTATCTTCCCTTCTGCTTTTCCCATAGAAGACAGCACAGATGGACCCTCCCCGAAGCAACCAATGAAACCAAAGCCTTTACTTCGCCCCAAACCTCCCCCAGTCGCACCTAAACCCAAACCTAAGCCCCGCCCTAAGGCAGGTTCCATGACTCCAGAAGGGAGCCCAGCAGGAAAAGATGCTTCTGGCACCAAGGAAGAGGGTAAGTCCAATCTTTATAAATACTGATCAGGGTTTTTTCTGATAGTTAAATTGTGTTGCCTTTGAATTCTTAAAAATGAATTTTTGAATTCAGTTACATACATGTACATAATGATTTAAGAAGTACTTATAAAAAGATTTTCAGGAAATATTTACAGTATTGCAACATGGCTATGTCTTCATTTCTTTTACATCGAGTTGCAATTAAATGGACTGACATGTTCAATGTCACTAATTCTTCCACATTGTTCTCACAGAGTCGACCTCCCGCCCATCCAGCATGTTAGAAGACATTGAGGACCACGCTGAGAATTCTGAAGAATCTCCAGGAAAAGATCAGACACTAGGTGGCAGCAGCAGCACAGAGGACCTGGCAGACAAGACAGGACACAGCTCTGAGGAATCTTTACCCACAGGTAAATAACTTTAATTTACTTCTCACCTCTATTTTTCTGTAGACTTATACGTGAAAGCAGAAAAGCAATTTGTCCTGGGACCAACCTTCACATTACTGTACTCTTGATTTATTTGATAAGTCTAATGTCAGTACTGAAAGCAGAGCACAGTTTTGCAGATTTGATTTGGATCTTATAGTGAGGTTTCTTTGGTTAAGATTTCTAGAAATTGTTAAAAATAATACCAAAAATAAAAAAGGATTTCCACTATGAAGGGGATGTCCAGACCAGTGCTCATGTCTAGTTTCTATCGAGAGAAGCACTTGACAGGTCTTTATGTTCCCATGGATGGGATGCTAGTCTTTGCTGAAATTTGCTTTTCGTCACATTGCATTGGTACCCATTTTTACACCTGAGTGAAGAAAGGCAATGAGCATGAAAGGTCTTAAACAATGAAACTAGTTGCAAATAGTATGTAAACTAGACATCCATGCCACAAGTATTATAATCTACCACACAATCATCTCATCACCCAAAAAAGTCTTAAAAACTGTTTATACCCTGAGTTTCATCCCAGCCAAAGGGAATCTTGTTTTCCTAGATGTCCCTGTGACCTGTTACCTGCATGTGTATTAATATATTTGATATAATCTTTCAAGAAAAACAGGTTGTCTTATATACAAACATCCCATTTGTAGCAGTGATACTGTTACTGTATATTTTATCAATTTATTGACTGAATTTATTGTGCTGAAGATATTTTGTGCATTATGTCTTAATACTGTATGTCTGATTTGATAATGCTAAATTGATGAATATAGCTTTGTAGCCCATTTATCATTTTTAAATAATAATTTATAAAAAATTTATAAAGCATGCCAAATGTGCTGCTGTTAACAATTGTCCACCCTACCACTTGAAAAATATCTAACTTGAAGACGAAAAATATCTAACTTGAAGTCTTGCATGTTTATCTGCCTTGTTTGTAAAATGATCAGTATAGTAATGCACAATAGACAATACTGTATTCAAACGTGTTTGTGACTTTTCCAGTCGATTGCTGTATAACTAATCAGTGATACCATTGGTTATTGTGAGGTAATGGGATTTTGCCTGATGCATTGCTGTGCTGCCAGCTTTATACTTGGCTTTTGTTGACCAATTTTAATGCTTAGGCAATATTAATTGATTTTATTTATTTATTTATTTATTTATTTTTGCAATATTTTGCTTTGATTTTTTTTTCAAATGTTGGAAAGAAGCAAACTCTTATACACGTAATAACTGAATTAATCACAACACATTATTCAGCATTTATTTAATTATTTGTAAGATTGTCACTGGCAGACCATAGAGTTTTATGAAATAATTGCAGATATTTGTTTTTATTTTGCAAATTGTAACAGGCTTATAATCTTACTGGTACTACCATTATGATAAAAATTGGCTTATTTATTTTAATTTTTTAATTTAACATTTAAACCTTTCATGTCAACCTTCTCAAAATGTCACTCAACCGTTATTGATACTTCTTGTTGACCTTTGGCAAAATGAATTGTATTTCAACAGATAACAATAGCACCAACTTTCTCCTAACCTGCCAAATATTTTCAGTGGATCCACATAAAGTTATTCTTATATTTCATCATTTATTTAAACTTATACCAAATGTTGTGTAAGGTGGAATTCTTATCACATTATGGGAAATTGTTATGTCACTGAAGAATAGATTAAGATTTCTCTTGAACAAAAGGGTGAAACTGTCTCCATGAGTTTTTTCCAATATGTCAGTTGTAGGGTTTGTGTGTTGCTAACAAGTAGTGTGGAGAGCATTTATTGGTTAGAAAAAAAGTGGCCAGTGTGTTGTTTTTATTTGCTTTAAAGAATAAAAAGAGGCTGTACAATTCCAAAGAGAGCTGCTTTCAGTTTTGGTTATAAGCTAGCTTAGAAGGACCACTCAGTCATTTACTTAAAGGGATCTTGATGGAGTTGATAAAACACATGTTCAAAATATTCAAATGATGATATTCCTTAAGATTTAAAGTTGAGGTTTTTACAATTCTGTCACATTTCCATTTGACTCTAAAGAAAGCTTGATATTGACAGCATGTTGCATTCATCTGTTATTTGCCATATATAACTTTTTGTTACAGGGTCTCCCAAAATGTTAAGAAAATATCTTTTGATAGTTGATTTAAAGCCCTATACAAAGTAAATGAAGTACAAAGGGGAATTGTCCCATCTTGAGGAATCCCAATGAAGTCCGTAAAGTTTGTCATATATCTTCATTTCAGATGTGATAGCACGCTCGCGCTCCCTTCACGGCAACTTGGCATCCACACCTGCTGCTGAGCGTCAGCAAAAAACCCGCAGTTTGTTCAGTGCTCTTTCCAAGGAGATGGAATCCCAGTTTCAGAAGAAAGAGGACCAGCCACATGCATTCAAAGGACGGAACTCTGGTGCAAATGATGCTGTGGCAACACAGGAGGAGAGTTCTGCTCTTAATCTAGGTGGCAACTCTAAACAAGACAAGCCGAGTGGAGCCACCATTGACGACAAGCCAAGTGGGAATGTTGTGCCTGAAGATAGCTCTCTAAAACAAAAACAACAACAACAAGAGCACATTTCTGATTTAAAGGCAGAAAAATCTGATAAATCAGAAGAGCATGTTACGCCTCCGCCATTTGACGGGAAAACAAGTGAAGGGGGAGCATCGACCGATGAGTTTGAGTTTGTAGATGAAGAAGATGTGGTGATGGTGTAAGTGTTGGAATCAGAGTGAGGTGAACCCTGGAACTTTCCTCCACCTCCTTCTTATCATCATTTTGCCCATTTTTCCACGAAATCATGACCAAAAAGGACAACATTCTCATCCCCAAATCAACCAATAAAAATAATTACCAGCATGGCCATAAAGGTATATGAAAACCATTTCCTCTGTATCTAGGGATTACAAATTTTGTATTGAAAACAATGTCTCTGTGGCTGATAATATTTGTTATATCCATCATATTGCTTTTCATATTATTTATAAAAGACAAAGGTATTATCTAGTATTTCAATCAACAGATTTCATATTTATTGTAATTAGAAGAAAGATAAGCATGATGTGCATCGTCTTGTAGAAATAAAAGTAAGTGGTTGATATGCTATAGGTTAAGGTTTATAATCGGGCATACAATTCAAAGGTACCATGTATAGATATAAAGTATAGCCAATTGTATCATTGTTCATTATGTTTATAATGCCTGTTTTTACTTGGCTGTGCACAGAGCAAAGGTTTCTCATGGCGTGCTTACACAAGATCATAGAAGGGGATTGGACTGTTCTGGTCCCTGTGGTGTCCCCCTATGTAAACTAATCATTGGCGATGTCACTTGGTATATTCAGGTTTAATTTGGTCATGATGTTGATGCACCCACAAATATTAAACACAATGTAAAATCTTTACAGACCACTTAATTTTTTTTTAATTCACTGAGAAAGCTTGGCAACTGATGACCAGGTGATATTTTACAGGGTGATATTTCAAATATTCAGATTGTTATCTTCTACTTGCCTTATTGAAAGTTATATTTTATGAGATGGATATGAAATACAGGGATAGTTTTGTCAATATAAGATTTGCCAGTCTTTACACAGGATGCTTTCAATAGTTTTACAAAAATCAGGTCCCAGCTACTGAGAGTAATTTTTCAGTAGTTTGTGTTTTTCACATGATATTTAAGAGTTGATGAAATGGTGTATCAAGGTTGCAGTCCCATTTATTTTTAATTTATTTTAGTTATTTATTTGATTATTTATTTATACTGGTAAATATGGGATTTGTTTGTATATGTGATATCATTAACAACACGATGAACTGATTTCAGCATCAATATTGTTTCAGAAGGTATCAATGTTGCAATCAACATATGCAATGTGTTTTCAAAAAAGTTTCAATCAATTAATTAATAAAAGTTTAATTAGTGTTCTGTGATGGTTGTCAGAAATACTGTATAACGATGAATTAAAAAAAGGTTGTATAATTGCTTTAACTATATTATAACTCACTGGAATTTTGCAAAAAAAACATTGTTTATTTGAATTTGACTGAAAATTATTGAAAATCACACTCATCTGACTGTTGAATTGAGAGTCTGCTGACATTGTCATTTTTTTATTAGTCAACATTGTTTCTATAGGTGATAAAAATTGCTTTCCTTTAGCCAAAATGACCAAAGTTATTTGGATGTTTTTTATACAAATGTGCATCACAGAATTGTTCACTTTGTAGATAATCACGATTGCTATACTTTGACATACCCAAGAATACCAAATTTTCCTTTTACTACTTATGCTCACTAGCAATCACACATGTAAATAATACGATAAACAGTAGCTTATAGATTAATATAAACTGGTATCAAATTGACTGCAGTCCTGCTTCTTTGTTTGTACATTAGATGGTTGTAATCATTTATTATTATTATTATTATTATTATTATTATTATTAAAACTGTACATGCTTGTAACTGTAGTGACTGGTAACACTTAGATATGTCACAGTGGCAAGCCCAACTCACACAGTGAGACAGTTCCTCAGCTACCTGTTGTGAGATGATTGAGCTTGTAGCTCAGCAAGACCAAGTCTTTTCAAAGCTTATTACTTAAATACAATGAGGGATAAAAGTTAACAAGATAATATAGGCTTAATGGATGATTAATTACTGTTTAATTGGTTATGTGTAAAATATATATGATAAGCAAGGTTAACAGCTGCTGCTTGTCCCTAAATGTAGTGGTGATCATGGAGTAATATTATGTATAACAGAATGTTTGTAAATATATGATTTAAAAATAATACTTTTTAAAAGAAAAGCCAATCCTTGAATATCCCTCAGTGTTGCAAGCTGTAGGTCTTCATAAGCTACAGTATCTTTGTATGACAGCCTTACTTAGTCAAAACATTCCGATGATTTGCTGTATTTACAGATGTACAGTTAGAATTAGACATTGTTAGCAGGTGAGCTGAAGTTTGGTCCAAAACTGTATGCGGTCTTTCCAGTGGACTAAATAATTTGAGAAAAAATCAAGGCCGGAGTATAATTAATACATAGAAAATCTATGTAGGTCACTGGCCCAGTAAATGTGTCGCTGTAATCAGGACGTCTGGAAACGCGAGTTGTGGTGTATGTTAGTCTGGGTGCATGTGACCACGCTCTTGACTGCACTGGTAGTTCCAGTTTGGGAGAGTTGAACCTTAATGTCAGATACACGTATATAAATATATGCATATGGTCAATAAATCAGGATTTACTTAAACATTGTAAGAAGTATTGTGCTTATCGAATAGCTTGGGGAGCTCACTCGGTGTTTGCCGGCTTTTCTCCAGCCCTGGCTTTATTCATCATGGATCTGCAGGTTACTAGATTTAGACGACGTTAAAGGTATACTGTGTGCATTTGAATATTTCTCAAAGTCATATTTTCTATGTCTACTTATCCTGAAAAGCCACTGATCTCTCCTAATTCAGACCTTAGAACTGTGAACCTCTAAAAAAAAGTACCAAACGTCGATGTTTCCCTTCTGAAATGTACAGAAAGACATAGTTGTCTGTCATCTAGAACTAAATCAACAAATTAAAAATGGAATAAAACAATGAAGCCAATTGCAAGGACGGGTCGAGTAATGATTCGTTTTTTTGGAGGAAAAATCGCGTGTACCTTTTGCTTTTCAGATATGTATTCTACTGATAACTGCCGAACAAAATGAATGTCTTTCAAATTATCTTTTAAAATGGACACCACATGGAATTATATCAATTTCACAACACAAATTTGAGAGAGAGTCTGGCTTACAAGGTATCATTTTGGCGACAATTACTGCAGACTGGAGACAGCTAATTTGCACGATTGCGAATTTGCCGAGGGTAACATTAAAACCGTGTTCATCATCTCTTTTTCACTACTCCATTTACGGTTTAAAATATATATATATATAACTCATGGCTCAAGCATGCGCTATCACGTTAATATATCCCGGAAATAATCTGGATAACTCTGTTTGGCTTACTTGGAGAATATGTAAAAAAAAATGCAATTTCGGCTTTCACTTAGATCGATATCTGTTGTGGATTTAAAGCAATTAAGCGAAATTGACTATTAGGAAGGTATAAGAAGGAAATGACAGAAAAGCAGACTTGTTTTAATATCTCCGAAACGGTGGATTGCATTCAGCTGTAAATCCATTGAAAAACCAATAGAAATAGAGGAGTCGTTTTTAAAAAGATTTAAAAAAATATTTTATTCATGACTTTAGTCATATTTTAATCCAAGTTTTTTTTTTACTTGTACAGTTCTAAAGTACATTTATGTACAGTCATATGTATTATATCTTGCTTTCCGTATAGTACATATGTTTTAAGATCTCTTGTGAAGTCTGCTGGACATATTTTTATGGATTATAGACTTGAATTTATTAAATAACGAATGCTGTAATGTTTTGGTGAAAATGTATTGTGCATTGATGAAATGGCCTTTAGATTGACGCATAGTTTGCCCACGCGCTCTTCTCGATTCTGGGAATTTTGAATTCTTGGAAATGGCAACATACCTCAGGATTTTGGTCGTCTGATTAATTATTTCTTGAATTAAGAGCACTTACTTTCTTCCCAACCCTTTTGGTTTATTTTCCCTTCGGGTTGGACGATTAACGCTACTGTTTAAAACCGGATATTAAAGAAATACCATTAGAGAATAAAACGTTTTTGAAACGCAGAATTATCTGTTCCTGATCTCGGAGATGTCACTTAATTTCACTGGTAACTGTTTACGATTCACATTTATACAGGTTTTCTCTAATTGAGGAAATGAAACACTCGCAAGATATCGAAGGATAGGTGATTACGTTTTTGAGCAGTTGGATGCCGCCTGCATAACATGCGGGTTTGCGTATTCTTTCTAATTTGGTGAGATATAAATTTAATGAGATATCACAGCACAGCTCCTATTCGTGCTCTTGTTAATTCATGTTAGACCTCTATGCATTTCAAACATGAACAGTGAAAGTAATAGCATTTATAAACATTTCCGTGAGGCGTGGCGTAACGATATTGGTTATATAAGGCAGGGAATATTATATCGGATATAATTCCCTGTATAAGGCAAGATTATTTTCACCAGGTTGTATTCGCAAGTCACTACCGTAGATTCGTGAATGCTTTGCCATGAGGAATTGAAGGATTATGCAGTAAGGTAAATATGCCAGTTTTCTCAACAAATTCTTTGTCATAAATAAAACAGGTTTGGCAAATTGACGTGTGTCGACTTTCCGATTTTGGTGTATCGTACTGTACATTAACATAGGAAGTAATCCTTTCAATTGATAGATGCAAGTAAATCACAGTTTCATGGTTTTTATATAATTCTCTGCAGTTTTCCCACCAAATCGTGGAGACTACGTAAAAAGACAAGGATAAATGTAATCTAAGAACCAAAGCAAAACAAAGAAAATGTATCGCATTGATGATTTTTTTTACCATGTTTATCTATTAAGAGCCAATTGAAGCTGTTGCAAGTAAAGTATGTCACATTGTTATGAAGTCAGAGGAAAAATTTCAATTTGCTGTCGAAAATGTCGGAAAGTGATTGTTTCCCTTACGGACTGCTATACATGCGGTACTTTGTCAAGAAATGAAATTACCTACAAATTCAAAGATATTCATATGTCCAAGATGTAAGGGTGATTGTTGATAACTACGTAGCACTGTCGTAAAGAGTTAAATAACAAGGAATGGAAAACATCCGAAATAACCCAAATTCTCGCGATTTAGAGTTAATTCAAGAAGGATATCGTTGAATTTGAAGTCGAGTTGTGTCACAACTAATGACAGACTAGCGAGGGCGGTTTTATACAGGTTTACGATGAAAGCTTACAGAATTTATCGACAAATATTTTTCTGGTTGTTTTCTCATATGCTCTGTAGGGTTTTCTTCAGAATTGCTGTTTGTTATATGTAATTCAGATAGTACGTTTTCACCATTTTTTGCGTGTTATTTTGGCACCCCTTTTTAAGACAGCATTCCTGGCGCATACAGTTTCACCGTTGTTACTTATGGCATGTCCCACCTCATGCGTTTTCTCGCAAGTTTTTAAATCTCGGATGACGTCACTACAACTGCCAGCCTATCTCGGTTTTATATTGAGGTACGTGGTTAAAGACACCCGCAGACAGTTTGGGAACACATGTCAGAACCGCTGCTGTTTAATTGAAGGCATTTAGCAGGATCTAACTTTACTATCTGACATTGAGCTTAATCTCCATGGCAATTTCAATAAAATTAGTGATAAATCATCCCATCTCATGTACTACCAAACCAAACAAGTCGAACTTGTTCTCGTTGTTTTGTGTTCATTTATTAATTTTTTTAAAAAATTATCTCTTTTTCGGTCATTATCGTTATTTTGTTATTACTGAAGCAAGTAGCTGTACCCATCGCGTGTCTAGACAATTATGAATGCAAATCATACAATGTTTTTTTCCTTCAAGGTGCCTTAATTGCCAGTTAGATAGCACGTACTTATTTGAGAGAAAATCGCTCAGCATTTTTTTCTTTTCAATTCAGCGAACATTGCCAGACAATAAAGATAAATAGTTGTTCTGAAAAACATCAAAGTACCAGAGAATGGAAGAATGGCACGTATGCAGTCGAGTTACAGTCAATCCCATGTCCATTTCAATAATGTAAGGGAATTTAATGGAATATTACGGTTAGTTCCACCGCAGCTCTCCCCCCAGAGAATAGCAGTCGGGTTTCATTTCTTAGTTTCATAACATGGTTTTTATCGACATAACATCAAGTGTCTGTGCCTTGGGATGACGTTAACTGACTAACAAATCAGACGTTCATTTGAGAATTTTTCTATTCTTCCCTCGGTTATCGATAGGAAGAACTACTCTATATGTGCAATAGATTTTGACAAAAAAGTTACCTTATCCAATTAATTGAAAAAAGATTAATATGCTGACTAATTGGACAATTTTAACTCTTGTCTTTCAAATATTGAAAAAAAAAGTACAGTGTAATTATTTTTCTAATTATAACATTTGGATTGTATACCAAGGCTTTGACAAACAACTTGATTTGAACTGGTTGACGTAAATTTTAGCAGTTGTTTGAAGTATAAAAGAAATCAGGTTAATGCGATCGTGATAATTTGAAAAAGGGGTATTTGTTTCCATTTTCTATCTATTTTGCCAAACGGTGAAATGTATGTTTCACACATACCGCCGCGTACGACTCTTGGCAAAATTTGAAATGGAATTGTACGAAATAAATACTTAACAAATGGCTTTGCCGGACAAACATCGACGCTTAAAAGGGAAATGAAATTAATTAACAGAACATAGATGTCCAACATAGACTTTAATCACCCCGGAACAGAAACATCAGAAACCCATTAAACACATCACGATTATGTGGCAAGAGATACGGTTTGAAGGCGGGTTTACACGGGAAAATATTGGATGAATGTCCTCTGAAACTTAGGGCTCATTTCCAATAAAACTATCGAACTACGTTGATCGATCAAACTCTGCTGAATGCAATCAGATCAAAAGATTAGCACGCTCTCCTCTTGAGCAGAATACAGAAAAGCCGGTAATTTTACGAGTAAGTTGCAAACAAGAGGAGGTACGTGTTACTTAGTTTATTTGATTGCATTCAGTGAGAGTTCCCGCGGAGTTGGACCGATCATCGTAGAACAACAGTTTCATAGGGAATGCGCCCTGAGGATGGTGTGCACCCACACACTGTGCAATAATGGGGTAGGAGCCGGCAGGAGATATGCCGTGCACACGAAGAGCGTGGCAAATGGACATCATCTCTCCATCTCTCCAGCGTGGCCCCTTTTATTGCCATTAAACCGACTTCTTCCTTGAGTAAGGTTCAAGATCTTTTTTTTTTTTTTTTTTTTTTTTTTT